GTCGTCGTCGTCGTCGCTCGATAAGTCGATATATACCTGGTTTCGTTCTTCTCCGCGTGTCGGTTTTTCACTCTGCACGATTTTTTACTTCTTCAAGCATTCCAAATAATAACGTAAATTTCCGCGAAATCGCACATTCACGTTTTCTTCACGTTTGAACGGGCCACAACTTTACGTCAAGCATTACACCGTTATAAAACTATAGTCATAGGATTTCCGCAAATTTTCTCCAACTTTGTCTTTAAACAACAGTCTTCAAACATGGTTGGTAGAGTTTGTTACGCGTCGTGTTTCCGCAAGGACGTATCTACATAGAAATTAACAAAGCTTAAGCTTGAGATCTCCAATTCAAATAGTTTTGTAGAATAAAATTGTTTAGAAATATTTATTGGTCAAAGTTTTCATATAGTTATTTATAGCAGAATAAGAAGAAATATATTTTTTTAGTTTATTTGTATTCTTGTGAGAGTTACATGATAAAAACCAGGAAAATAAATAGGCTGTTACGTTGTCGAGCAAATAAAAATAATCGGAAGATCTATGATTGCATATCTGGCAATTATTCACACCGAATCGATATTAAAACGACGTTGAATTTCTTGACAAACATTTCCGCAGGAGAAACGAAGATATTGCTTGGCCGTTCTAATTGAATTAAGTTATATATGTGACTTGAAATTCAATTTCTGCGTTTAATTGGCGTGCAAAAAGAGAGAAGAGTGTTATTTGTGAGAATGACAAATTGAAGATCCTTGTTTTGATACGAGTGGAGGTCTCCAAGATAAGAAATCTCGTATCGATTTCTTCGTCTAACCGCAGCCAGGACATGACTTAAATCAATACCACGGCGCTTTAGGGGTGAAATCCTACGGAAAATATTCTCTCGTTTTGTGAAAACGTGCTCCAATCATTCTTGCAAGGGTTTCTTACGTAATCTTCTTTCACTGATGAAAGTTTCACTCCGTTTCCTTTGCTATGGATATTTCCGTCATTATGGATTTCCTTCATCGAATATTGCTTGGTGTTGAATCCATCATGAAATTATATAAACTTTCTGCCGTGCGCAATATTTCCGTGAAAACAACAATAATACCTCGATGCCAATATTTTAATTTATATCTCGAAAGAATTGTACTGCTGAGATCATCCTTATTTTTGTCGTTCGTTTTACGTTGTTTAAATATTACACAGGATTTATTTCTCTCTCATATTCTACAAATTAATTGGGATAAATCGAGTCACGTTTTAATTCCATTATATCCGTTTCATCCGTCGAGAGATAATTTCTTCGCGATCGATCCTGATTCTCGCCGATACGTTTCCGTCATATGGATTCTTCTCTGCGAAAAATGTAACGATTCCATTCCGGAATCTCGCACGTGTCGGGAGTCGAGACCTCGATTATTTACGAAAGTGATACACCCTTGTCGACCTTTGGCGACGCTTTTCTTTAGCGACCTCATTATCCGTTTCTCCTCGCCATTCTCTTCCGTCTCACAAATCCTAACCCTGCGGCTAGCATCCTCGTTAGCACGAGAAAGTTTTTCAGCTCACGAATCGCTTTTGCCGGCATCCTGTCTCCGGAGTCCTTCCGCCGCTGGGGTAGCAAGACGTCTCTCCCATTCCTTCCATTGCGACATCATTTATTCATCACAGCTCGATGATATCCGGCGCGCGAAACTGCACTTTGCTGCAAAACTTCACTTCTTGCACGATCTTATTGCCGCAATTGTCTTCGTTTAGATCAACGTCGCTCTGCGTACCGTCGTCATCGTCGTCCTCCTCCTCCAGATCCTCCAGAACGTGTCTGTCTAAACTCCAGCCGCTAACTCCACTGCCAACCGCAAACTTTTTTTTCTTCTTCTCACGGATTTTATTCTGGCGAACGGATCGCCGTGGTTATTTGTATCTGAAAGTCGAGCAAAACGGGCGCGCTTTGGAGCGTGAGTATGCTCTTATCGATCGTGAGTTCGTTGCCTTACGTGTAAAGTTTATCTTGTCTCATTTTACTTCTTATAACATGCGGATCGTATGAAAGATTGTATGAAAAAATGCTCTCGAATATGTACCGGTTCAGAAAATAATTTTCTGTTAGCGCGATTATTAAATATCTCGATTTCAACAAGTTGAGCATTATCTTTTTTTTGTGTGAAATAAAAACGATGAAATAAACAACGATAAATTGCAATACGGGTATTTTTGCAAGCTCAAACGTTTTTACGCATCCATTGTAATCGTCGCGAATATTCTAATCACGTCGTTATTACATATTGGACACCCAACGCGAGCTGCGAGTGATATTCATATTTCGATAGAAACATGATCGGTGTACGTTTATATGATCCTCACGTTACACGACCCTTGCTACTCAGCTCTCCAAATGTATCGAATGTTGTAACATACGCAGATTGAAACGCGGTGTCGCCAGGACAAAATATTTTTCATCGTCAGGTTTGGCGTCGTAAAATAGTTTGCATCGTCAGTTCTACGAGAATTAGGTCAACATCGCGTATTACTTTCATTATGAACAATATTCGTATATTACAAGAAAAAATTCGTACAGCATCGGTGTTATTTTCTCATTATATACAGCGTCAGTGTTATTTTCTCATATTTTAACTTTTAGAAAGATAAAATTAGTTCTTATTGGACTGTATTGTCGCTTATTATATTTGTAATATATGAACAAAAATTTGAAAATTATTTACAAATACTTATACATATAAATAATAATCGAAGGTGTTAAGTTTTTGTATAAATAATTATTAGATATATTTTTTAAGTTTTATGCTTTAAAAATATATTTCGTCAGAAACGTTATTCGATTTTTTTAATTATCTATAAGTAACACGATCTTTTTATCGTTTGTCCGAAATTTTATTTGGACAAATTACTTTATATTCCAAAAATCGACTTACCTTTCTGGTAAAGGGCATTCCAAAATTCTGCAGAAAGCCAGGCCGACTGCCACTATTAATATTAGAAATAAAACCGCGTACACTACGAACAGATGAACTAAAGAAAAAATATAAAGCGTCTTATGACACCACCTATTGGGCGTGTACAACGAAAATTCGTATTCCGGCCACATTGCATGCAGTATCCAGTAATGTCCTAAAACAAAAAGGAGAACAACACAATATACAACGATGAACGTAGGAATTAATTATCCAACTTAAAGTCTAAGAGTGCCATCCTATTTCATGTATCGCGTAATTAATTAAAGACATTGTGCGTTACGCTAAACTCATCTCCATGTGTCCCATGGAGTGTTACACATTCGCGTAATCAATGAATGGTGATCTTTGCTATTTCTGTTAGAACAGTTTAAAAGAATGTAAAGATATAATTGGTTATCGTGTACACCACCCAACTTTTTGTGTTTCATGAGATATATGGAAATAAAATTCCGTGCAACAGAAAACGCCTCTAGTTGGTTACGTGATACGCATTACGCGAAAAATCTGTGCCATGGGACAGCACTCTAAACAATGAGGGAAAAATCAAGTAAAATATTATTAAGTTATCAAATTATTTAATTCATTATGGGCCGGTTGTTCCATCTTTTGATAAATTTTACCTGTGAGGTAAATCTGGTAATCCGTACATGTGATTGGATAATCTTGCTACTTACCCAACAGGTAAAATTTATCAAAAAATGGAACAATCGGCCCTAGACTATGTCGAAGGATTTTTCCAAAACATACATAGAAGAATTTTCCTCGTATTCACTCGATTCATTTCGACTCGATCAGAATCTTGTTTTTATATTGGACTCAAAAACTTTCGAAATAATAAATATCTATGTGACATATATATGCTAAGTAATTAAGCAGTCTACAATTTCATCCTGTATCCCGATCAACGAACTGTGACATGTTGTCGTACGAAATATAAATATTGCACGACAGTGCCTCATCACGAACAGTTAAATTGTCATAAATAATGAATTTTTTAATCCCAAAATTTTCTCGCATATGGATTTATGTGCGTATATTTCCAACACTTCGTACTCTTTGCCATTTCAAATGAATCTGTATTAGACGTTATTAAAAAAAATTAGAATAAAAGAAAAATATAAAAAGTCTAATTAATCCATAAATCGATATATACGCAGCACAATTTTTAATTTATATCAATGATTTATAAAAAATTATGACTCTTGTGCTTTAGTAGCGACATCATTAATGAACTCTTATATGTTCAGTAATGATGCCGCACTACTAAATCGTGTTTTTGATACTTTAATATCGATTTATTTATTGTTAAAGATAGGATATGTTTTTAAAACCGTTTATTGCAACGTGCAAATATAAGCAAAGTTCAGCCACTTGACCGATATTTTCGTCAACGTAAAAATTTGCTTATAGCATATATGAGAAAGCACTGCGCAATTAAAATCAACATGTAAAGAGGTTAAACATAACATGCTGTAATTTGTGGAATGATGTAATAATATCGTAACGGAATTGTTTCTGGGGCTTTGTACGCCACTTCATTCATTCAAAGTTCTCGAGAGTCCTTACATTCAGCTTTAGTACGCAGAAGGTTTCTGTTGGATTTGTAAATTATCTCAGAGAATTTTATTTATAAAATATATAGAAAATAGTATAATACAAATTAAATTTATTGTTGAAATATGACGAAATATGAATAATAAATTAAAATAATGAAATAAAAAAGAAACAATATGAAAAACAAAGAGGTAAAAAAACTAATTAAAAATAAATATAAAAACTATTTCATTACTTATAAAAAAATGTTAGAATAGTACGAAATTTGATTATTTTTTATTTATAATTTGATCTATCTTGTACATAATAATGATCTTTTAATATTTAATTACCCGTTTCTACAAAGTTATTATAGAATCATAGAGCCAAGTGTTATGAAACATGTGTTTTCCTAATCTGACTTATGCTTTGCATTCGTTCGGTAAATCCTCCGTGGCTTTAACGCTTCGAAAGTTTGCGGGTTGCCGGCGCGAAATATAACACGTCGCGTATAATTTCGGACAAAATTTCTTGCTCACCTAACACGAACCACGCGACCAGGAAGCACGATAAAACTATGGAGAGTAATTTCATAGGCGAGACATGTGGTCTGTTGCCGGAATGGGACGAGACTTCCGGCCTCCGAGAGCGTATCTGTGAATACAGCGCCCAAAACATACGCACGGCGCCCAGAACTCCGCCGATCAGCATGTACACGGGAATGTATGGCTCTTTAGGGCAATCCTTAATGAACTGCACACCTGCAAAGGTAAATTAAAATATTGATTTTCGACACGTTCGCCATTCGTTGCAATATAAAAATTTAGATTGAAAAAGCAAATGCAAACTATTCATACACTATTTTATTTATTCGTGTTTGATCTGAATTCGATATGGTTTCAAAAAAAACCTATCGTGCATATCGAAAATTAATACACAATGTGTATTTTTTATATTTTTTTAATATAAAATGTAAAATATTGTCTCTAGTTAAACATATAAGATATATGTATGTGGACATTTCCATGTTACGTTGTGCATAATAAGTGCAACATATAGTAATAAACTTGATAATTGATGTTATATGACTTCTGCCTTCTCGTTTTCTCAGTTGAACTTGCTTTATTAGTAGATATTTTATGACACCTTTTATGTTTGTTCTTTTTATATCCGTGACCCAAACACTTCATAGTTTGAGTAATAAGTAGAAATAATATATAGTATAGTAATTTATTTAGTATACTGCAAGTTCTTTTTATTGTTCTTTTTCTTCGAATAGAAAAGGAGAAGAGGCATCCCTTAACTGATATTCTTACCCATCAATTAAGATCTAACGTATATCTGACGCGCATCATTATTTTGCACTTTTTCCAACGCCAGTGAAGAATAATTTAGCATTAATTGCTTGTTGCCTAGAGTCTATTTCATGTATCACGTCCTGGTTCGACGTTCGACTTAGGATAACATGCATACCATGGAAGGTTCTCCGCTGCGCAACGTAACTTGAGTAATGTGTACCTCGTTATTATGCACATCTTTTGTACGTATTAATTTTCTGCTACAGCATAATCCTCGACAGTTTTTCGAAGAATTTATTTCGTGACATTCGCTGCGATGAGAAATCAATATCGTCGTCCTACATACTTTGATAAGTACAGAGAGAGACACTATGTTATTTTTTAAAAGTTAAAAACCCCAAGGAACTATTTTATGTTATTTTAACTTTGTATCTTTAGTATCATTATTTTGTGATGAGCCAATCTCATGAGCTCCAATTAAATATATAACGCGTATAAGGAAAGATCGATTTTGCTGAAGTATCTAAAAATTTAGTTAGATACAGATTTGAAAATAATTTTATTAGATCATCCAAATAATTATGTAAGACGCTTAAACTGGTTATTAGAATGTCAAAATTTTTTGCAGCATTATCATCAAGTTTGAGCATCCTACATAATTATTTTGATAATTCAACAAAATTATTTTCTGATTTCTACACTCCAGCAAAATGTTCTTTCCATGTAGATAAATTTTCTCGTAAAGCAATTAATCGGAAATTGTGATATATTGATTATTTTCTTTCTTCTTTACATATATGAGATGAAAAAATTTTTTGAACAGCGGCGTTTCAATATATCGGGAGTTCAATATACTTGATATTACTCGAATTAATCTTTAGATTTATGCGGTTCATTAAATTTGCACAGCGCAGGTCGCAATTGGTGAATTCCATTCCATTTTTGGATCGTGATTTACAAAAGATTAAATCGTCTTTGGAATCACTGATTTGCGACCACTTTTGCGGTTTACCTACCTATGCCATTATTATCGATTACATGTTCTTGCCAGGTGGACTTCGTCAGAGGGTGAATGCACCGGACTTATATTAAATCAGGTTGTGCGTCTATGCTCCCTACTGCGCGAGTAACCTATGCCCGAGAAATTAAATATGCTTGCATGCTACAAGCTCAACACGCTAGCGATTTGCGTGTCGTAATCCTGGTAGCATTAATTAGCTCGGAAATAATGTCGTATATTTCGTGGAATTTAAACCGAATTGATTGGAAGGGGAAATGTGCTATAATTTGGGTGAATAGAAACTTAAGAGATAATTATCGCGTTAAAATTTAGTTATATTAAAATTATATGTACCCAAATGTTGCAAAAAGCATTACACACAAATAAAATACCATCGAGAACTAAAAAAATCTTATTTCGTAAAATGTTAAAAAGTTTGTTGGTAGAAATAAAATTTTATTTACTTTGAACTATCGCAAATATCTTTCCACATATCGCTGTGAACATTTCTCAAATATTTGCATTTTGTTGGTTGAAACTTTACGTTATGGTAAAAGGGAGAGAAAACAATATAATATTTACGTCTTGAATTTATTTTAGACGATCCATAATTTGCATCAGATTTTAAGATAGAATTCTATTTATAATTTTATATGTCGCATATTTTAAAATACATTATATCTAATTTTAAAATGTTTTTTTTTATTAAATGGCAAAATTATAAATAAAATTTTTTTCTATAAATTTTAAAGTATATACTTTATTACAAATTGTTTAAAATAGACTTTATTTTGAATTTTACACCGTCAGGAAGTTACAGAGGAAACGAGATTCTTATTTATCTTAGTGACAAATTATTTTTAGTTTGTCCCGAAATCTAATTATACTATAAATTTAATTGCATTTAATTTTCAAAATATGAGTATGTTATTCTAAATATTATTATACATTAAATATTTACAAAGATTAGGTATACCAAGAGTAATATTTAATGACGAAATTACACCTTCGAAATTATATAGGTGATATTACGTAATTTCATGTTGCGAAAAATATGATTAATTGACATGACGAACTTTAGAAAGTGTCAGCTAATAAACCTTTTCACTGAAGAGAAATTTGAAAAATTTATTTATCTCAAACAATTAGTGCAAATTTCTATTATTGACGGCAGCGCGGAATGTACTTCTGCTAGAACACTGATCAAGGAATCTTATCTTTTATACACTGATTGATGTCTTTCACATAAAATATTTTAGGAAATTATCTTTTGTTATCAGACTCTGTATTTTTAACAAGTTGAACTTTGAGATTAGTAGAAGAGAGAAAAGCGATTAAATACAGAACGTTAGTGACGGATACTACGTTAAAAATTTTCTTTGATATCTGCAAAATTATCCTTGTCGGACTATGCGTAAAGCTATTCCCTTAAGAGAGGTTAAAGAGGCAATAAAAGAGCTCCAACTCTCCTGAGAGATATGTAATAGAGAAAAATTTACATCAGGTAAAGCTACAAGGTTTTGTGAAGTTTATTGCAACACAAAGAAAGTTAAAGAGAACATCTTGTTTAATCACTCATTTTACATCATTCTTTTAAGCGTATCCTTTTACACGTAAAATATTCATATAATAATCGTTAAAAGCAATATCGAGAAAGTATAACGTATTGAGAACAAGCAAGGTAAAAAAATATTAAATGATGATAGAGTGAAAAAAAGTGGCGCTAATAATACTTGAATTTTAAAAAGCGCCATAGATCAAAGAGTAGTCAGGCTATATAGTCTTTTTCCCTAACAATAAGTCTCACGAAACTCTGTCGTTATAGTTCTTAAGTATAGATATACTACCAGAGAGAGAGAGGTATCGATCGTCTTTTTATTTCGAAGTGTAAAACGGATCGAACTGAAACTTCGGTGAGGTCGTTTTCGACCCACTTATCCAGTTGCTAGTTATATAATATTCATTATGCTATCTGAACACATTTTCTTGTGAGAAAAGATAAATTATCCACATATACATAGTCGATTACCAGTCAAAGACCTCTTTCTCGATTCGCTCAACCGAGATTAATTAAAACCGTCCGTTATCCGTCTAATTGTATTTCCCTGTCTCTTCACTCACCGAAGATGAACATCAAAATAGGCACAGTGGACAAACAGGTCAGACATATAGTGAACGTCATCGTCTTGCTGATGACTCTCAAAGCGCGAAAGACGAAGTCGCAGATGCCGTTTGCCTCGAGATGAGCGTCTTTCAACTGAAACACGACCGAGCCATAGGTTGCTACACCGAGATTCGCAGCCTCTGCATCGCCCTTTTCGGGTGCCTTCACGCCACTGGCGCAAAGCCGGCGCGACTCATCGCCTGAAAGCTGAAAGCACACGCAATAGCTAAAATCAGATTTTCTCCCATGTCATGATATAATATAATTTATGACACGACATTATATATGTAAAATATGTTACATACGTCATATAGGTTAAAATCAGCAATTTAATATGAATGTACTGTCTTTATATTTTATATTTATTATAACTTATTGTTTTCCGTCAATCCGACCTTTGTCAATTTTAACGTCTCATTAAACATACTCGCCACTCCAAATAGATTGGACGGAGTTCAAATAAATTTACATAAATGTATTATAAAATGTGTTTAGTTATGAATATTAATATATAATAAAGTTTCATGATGAGATTTGGCGATCGTGTGTGTGAATTACACGTTACTTTATCGATTGAAATTAAATATCTTATTATGTATATGAATTTAAAACAGATAACGCTACAGTTTTGGCAACCTGCGAGTGACTCTACTCGAACGTCCGCGAAATCTAGTATGATTTAAAAAGATTGCTGATGAAGATTTCAAAGAGAATCGAAATATACAAGAGATTTTAAGATTTCTATTAAAGATGACATCACAACACATCGTATGAATTGACAAAATTATTTGTGAAAGATTTATTGCGCACCTCTGTTCACGCTGACTCTCATTAGCCCAGATTTAAATTGTTTTTGTTATATATAATATAATTTTGTACTGGCGAGAGAGAATTCATTCATTCTGATTAATAGCACAAATATGACATTAGACTTTATTATGGAAAAAAATTTATAAAGCTGTAAAAGACACATTCCAATTTTTATCTTATTTTAACTTTTCTCTTTCTCTTTCTTTTTACATTTTTTATCTCTTATAATTTGATTTTAATAATATTAGTTTTTTTAATAATATTAATTTAATTCTGTTTTATTTTATTTTTATTACCTTGTGCTAGTGTGCGTTGCCGTGTACCATACTTTGTCTGTATTTCGCTGATTACAGAGTAATGCAATTAGTGATGGAACAAGTGCAGTTTTTTTCATCTTTCAGTGGGAATCCGTATTAACGCAGTTCGTAATTCAGAAATAAGAATTAACGTGCATTCAAAGATTTTTGTATTTAAAAAATTCTTTTGAAAGAAACCGTATTTTTTTTTATAATAAAAATCCAGTACTGTACGAAAGGTTTTTATACGGCAATTTAATCGCCGGCAAATGAAAGCCGATACTTTTTATATTCTACGAGGAACTCGACTTTACGGTACGCTTTAATTAATAGTTTTAGTACTTTTTATCTAACCGTGTCTCTTTGAAATGCCGCGCAGATTTGGCGTCAGAGTTCAATTTATATTCCGTTCATTTCCCACATAACGTAAATTCAATAAACGATCCTGCAAAGCACGAGCACAGCTTCGTTGAACGGTAGCAAATACGTCTCTTCTTTCTCCATCGATTCTCGTTCTACGTTCTGCGGAATGAGATCCTTCGAGAGATCCTCGGGTAACGCGAACACGTCTCAGGTACGTTTTTCGCGTTTTTCGCGCGGATATAAGCACGGAAATAACCTGCGGATGTGATATGTGCGAAAAAAATTTGAGCTGTCACGAGCACGAATCAGAAGTATATGCCGGCATACTCTTCTGAACTCTGTGCATCTTAATATTATAATTCTTACGGGAAATGATAGCATGCGCTTATAATGATTGCTTTAACAGTTTGCAAGATACATCAGTTTCGTTGTAGGTATAAATTTTTTCTGCTCTTATATATATCATCAAATTGTAAAGCTAAAATATACTTATCGGTTTTATTTCACGAAAAAATCTCGAAAAAAGAAATTTCCTTAAAAAGTTTTTCTAAGAAAATTATAAAGAAAAACACAAAGGCTTTAAAACAGTATACCTACATTTCTTTATTAATAACTTTTCTGCTTTGTTTGTTGAACATATTTATAGTTAGTTTTATATATTTATATATATATCTTCGTAGAAAACTCTTTTGCATTCATTATAGTTTTCCATCAAAAGGCAATGGGCAAGTCATCGGGGATACGGGTGTGGAGGATCTCGCCGTGAAGCTATCGCTTGTATCGTCATTCACTCGACCTCGCCTTGCGTGCATTGCAGCAACATATCGTGCCACGTTGTGTCTGCACCGGAAAACCAATCAGGGTGCAATTTTAGATCGTTTTAAGCTTCTTTTTTAGAAGAAACTCTTCCATTGATAGGACAGTGTAATATACGGAAGAAATAGATATTTTCTATAGTTCGTGTAATTTAACAAAAAGATAAATGACTAATCCTAGAAATAAGGCATTATCATCGTAATCACATTATATATGTGATTAATGCAACACTTTTTCCGATTAAGTAAGATAGACTATTTTCAGAGTTAGTGGTCGCCTGTCTTTTTTCATTCTCATTCCATGAATGGGTTCCCGGCTCATTTTCTGCTTTTATAATCGAACTTAAGCAAATTTTCCTATTAAAAATAAAATTGTGTAAAAAGTCGGTGAAGCCGACGTGACGTCCCCGGAGCAATAACGAGGAAAATTACTTTGAAGATTTTACAGGGATAAGCAACAAGAAAAAAAAGAGAAATAACGTTTTTACAAGGCTGCCTCAATCGAATTTTTGACTCAACAAAAACTTATTCGGCAAATAGCAACATTTTTTTAGAACGAAATTTTCGAACGAAAATTCGAATTTACATTTGAATCCATTTTTTATTTTATATTTACGCATATGAATCTGCGATCTATGTACGTCGTGCCTGTAATTTTAAAAAAATCCAATACTGTTTTCCAGTAATTTCTTTATCGCACTTAAGAAAAAAACATTAATAAAATTGAACTCATTAACAATTTACTTTATATTAGGAAAAGATATTATATAAATACTTAGGTATATGTGAATGCATATTTAACTTATCAATTTAATTATTTCTTTAATAATATCAAATTTTAAGAAATATTTAAATTTTACGAAAAATATAAAATTTTGAAATTTTATTTTATCGTATATAATAAAACTTGTAAAATTTTATGATACTCTAAAAGACTCTAAACGGAAAGTATCAATGAGCAATAAAAAAAAAAGTACGTCAAACTAGAATAAAATATCATTTTCGATATCTGAAATAATATTTCAGTTGCAGTGTGAGAAAAATTATTTTCGTAAAAATATATTATGTACTTGTGTCAAACCAATCTGCGTTCGGAAAAAGTTTCACTCTTTTTTCCTCTTACAACTCGTGGTTTATGAAAGTTGCCTTGTTAGCGTACTTCCGGCGAATAAAAAGAATATCCTTATGCTCTCTGCCTGCAACTGCCTCACTTCGTTGTAATTACCGCAACGGATGATAAATGACAAATTGCAACTTCGAATATGTATTGCCCGCGTTGCCCGAGTTCCTCGCGTTACTCGAGTTACCTGCGTATATACCCGTTGAATCATAAAGATGGAGAGCATCCCAGTCGTCCATTTCCGTAGCTCGAGTGAGAAATTCCGGAACACTCATAACACAATTGGGGCGTGTACCGTAATAGCATGGTCGAGAAAGAAATTTCTTCAACGTTGCAGACCGGAATTGCAACGGGCACGATAAGAGAGGAAGAGAGAGGAAGAGAAAGAGAGGGGGAGAGAAAGAGATAGAAAAAGCACAGTTACCTGTGAAACGGAGCTGCTAGCTCGCCTGGAATCGGCCCAGGCGTTCGTTCCGTATCCTAGATTGACCTGTGCGCCACCGCTTCCGCCCGATCTGACGCTTCCCGAGCTCACTTCTCTTTGGCGATAAGGCGAGGAACTTCGGTTTCTCGTGCTCCCTGGACATAAGTGCAAATATTTGAATTTATCCGACTGCCTTTCAAAATTCTTATTCGAGAAACATCTCGTAAAATTTTTGCACGATATCCCATGAATATTTATGAAGACATGACGAAGACGACTCGCGCTGGCGAAAGAATTGCAAAATAGTATGTGATCTACTTCGAACTTATACTGATATATTTTATAAAAGATATTTCTACTATTTTCATCGATTTGTAATTTCTTTTCTGCGACCGTGGGATGTATTCTCAAATTGTACATGTGAATTACAATTCGTGTGCAATTAGAAAATTTGTGCAAATTTTACTTGGTATATTTTCTGAATAGACAAAATTATGTGTGTAGTATCCAATTTATTTTTACGTTTGAACTTTTTGTGATTATATTATTCTGATTTGTAGTTTTTGACTCTCCTCGTTTTAACACGTTTGTAACTAATAAATACTAGATATACAATTACAAACAATAACAAACGACGCGCCAATTAACAATGTTAGTGCACAATTTAATTTGTATTCTCCATTTGCACGAATTTCGCTTGTTATAAAGAGACATCATGCAAATTCAGGCGATGAGATATCTTTGTCAACAAGCTTCCGTTTAATGCACACTGCTTTACGTGATAAATCCGCACTTTCAATTTACAGAATACAAATCCCATCTGCTGGAGAGATTTCGATTATTGCGACATTCCTCGTCACAAAATTTATCGACTTCGCTCGCCTGATAGCGGTAGCTCGGTAAACAAGTCTTGTCGTATCGATTTTGGGGATGACAATCATTTGGAAGGCGAACGAATTTAAACGATAAAACCTATAAAAAACGATTTAATGCGTACATTACCGCTCATGAGGAAGTTCGGATAAATTTTATTGAACGATTATATGTAAAAAAATTAAGATTTTATAAAACAGCAATTGTATTATTTTTTAAATATATTTTAAATCACTTATACACATACTAACAATTGCAAAAGTTTTATAAATTAGTTTTAATTTTGTATGTCAAAAAGTATTGTCTTTACTTCGTAGAACATTGATAGTATAAATTTAAAAAAATTCGATAAATTTAAAAAATTTGCTCAAAGAACACAAATGTGGGCTCATGCTATGTATGTTGCCAGCCTATCCCCATAGGTTGAAGATAGACTAACAAAAGCTTTATAAATTATTTTTAATTTGTATGTCAAAAGCGAATTTTTGAAGTTTACTGATTATACTATCAAAATGTTCTACGAAATAAAGGTAAAACATTTTGGCATATAAAATTAAAAATAATTTATGGAACTTTTGCAATTGTTAGTATATGTAGTACAAGTGATCTAAAATACATATATTAAAAAAATAATACAATTGCTGTTTTATAATGTCTTAATTTTTTACATAATCATTCGATAAAATTTATGCGGATGTCTGAACTTCCATGAGCGGTAGTGTATTTGCATAATACATTATTATAATACTTACGAAATTAGAACAATTGTAAAATTATATTATGAATTATTTATTGTATATTTGCATTTTTACTGTTTCAGAATATTCAAGGAGAAATTCGTGCTTTGATCTCGCCTGAGAGCGCGCATGCAATCTCTCTTGCATCGCAACCGCGCAAAGTGGGTAAGTAAGCATTATGTATCAGACGCATATTTCAATCTCGTGACCGGTAGTGGTTTAATGTAGCTGCTAACGTTAATAAATATCGTGTATACGTGCAACAAAATCAGGCCAATTTGCGCGACCGAAACATAACCTTTTCTCGCGTTAATTATCGCTGGGATAAATGCCTCGTATTTACCTCACGTTTCGATTTCTTGCGGTTGCAGCCCCAAGAATCACGTCAATAAAAAAGCGGTCTTAGCATGCGGAGTTGTTAAGTTTCTTGTGGATTTTATCTCATTGGTGGAATATATTAGTGGCGAATTATCACCGCAAGATACACACATACATATCAGCATGCGCATATATCTAAGATTGTGGTAAACTAATTTGCATAGATCGACTTAAGAGGTTTAATACTACTATATCAACATTGTGTATGCAGGTTTTCTAACCGCTAATAGTAATTTGGCTCATGATATGTTCAAGCTTAATAATCTGTACAGATTTCCCAAAAATGTGATTCGTGATTTATTGCAATCGATATAACCGTTACGATAGAAGCAGAATTTTTACGAGGAAGAAATAGATAATTTATATGTTAAATCAAATATAAATATTAGTACCGACAGAAATTATTTTCATATTATTTAGTACATGAAAGGGACAGTTTTATTGAAGTATCTAAATACAGATCTGAAAATAATTTTGGACCATGAAAATAATTATGTAAGATGCTCAAACTGATTGATAGAATGTCGAAAAAAACTTTTTGTAACATTACTCGTTATATTTGAGATTCTACACTGTAAAAAATAAAGTGTTATAATTTTAACTTTATAAATACGTATGGATTTTCTAAGGCATGCAAAAATGTTAAAATTAACATTTGTGTGTTAATTTTAGCATTTTTGCATATCTCAGAAAGTTCACTATACTTCTTTAATTTAATTATTTAAACATTTTATTTTTTATAGTGTATAATATAATTATTTTGGTCCAAAATATTATTTTTATATATTAGATATTTAGATATCTAGCTAAATTTACTTTAATAAATTCGTTCTTTCTATATATATTTTGCTGCACTTTAATTTTGAATGTCGCACGTATTATACTTGTGATGCAATAATACTATTGAGAGATTGATGGGAAGTTTGAAGGTACTTTGCATTCGTCTGACCTGATTAAATCGTAATAAATTAACCGTGCGAGAATACAAGAGAAATAGGGACCTATCAATTGTTGTTTCTTAATGGAAGCTTTGCGCTGGAATTGACGTCGTATCGGCTTGTCGGCTTGTCGATATTATTTTACATTTCTTGGCAGATCCGTTCCTTCCGTGTGTCACGCTTACATTATTTCGAGGCGCGAGAGTCTATTGCATCCGTCGCAGGATTTCAGTGAGAAGTATCGGGTGTGTAATACCTATCGTGTGCAATCGACACGCGCGAGAATATATCACCCGGCGACCAATTTCCGTCATTCGAGATATATTATACGTGTCTATCGCACTCGATGCCTTGAACACGGGAGAAATGAACGAAAACTAATCGGCCTCTCCGGAGACCTGACGTCGAGAGTTGTACAGTAATGAGCGTCAAATTGCCATTACATTCCCTAAGGAGAGAAGATACTTGCTGCCTCGAGGTAGTCTCAACCTGTAAATGCCGGGACGTAAGGAAACGTTTGCATGGAATCTCGTTGGTGAATATTTTATGGCCTGTCTTTATATAAAACAGCTTTCCTTATAATTGCTCAAGCAGAAACTAAATAAAAACGTCGGCTATTTTTAACTTTTATTTCGATATAAAAGCAATGATTATTTTTAATGTTTATTTTGGTATACGACACATGATAAAAATACTCGATCTCCGAGTATAAGGTTATTATTATTTTTATCAAATGTCACGCTTTTATCAAAACTCGCTTTTCCAGCGGTTTCTTGTTAGTCGTAATTGTAATTTCTCGAGTCAATAACTGAACGAGCAATTGTTTTATTCTGTTATGTATAATTGACATGTCATGCATGCAAACATATTATTGGCATGATTTAACCGCATTTGCGGCAAACGCAAACGTTCCTTTGCACATTGCATTGCGTTTCATCGTGACGCTATAATTTCGCAGATTACATCTGTATTTCGATGCATATCATTGCGGTTTAAATACGTCCAAGGACCACATTTTCGCGATAGTTTCGTATACGCATCAGTCGCGGAGACAAGTTTCCAACAATTTTAATATCGTAATACTCAATTATTTTTAGTAGAAAAGTCTATAACTCGAAGCTTAATTAATAACTAGTTTTTAATAGCAATCTTAACGGTAACCGTTGCTAAATGTTAAAATAAAAAAATAACATAATATGATATGTTTCATCCTATATGATCCTTCCAAGATAGTTTTCTATTTTAATGACCTAGTAAAAAAATTCAAAAATCTTAAATTCTTACCTTGATCTGCGGAAGCTCTTCTAGGATCTTGCAAGCCCAGGTTGCCTCTCGGCGCCCTTCTATCTTGATGTCCTCCGAGACTACCCCTAGGACTTCTGTTGATTCCCTCAGGCCCGATGCTTCCTCTGGGACTTCTGGTTTCGTCGTCGTTAACAGCTCCTTTCGAATGTCTTTCGACGTCGTTCATGCCTATGCTTCCGCGTGGCGATCGGTTTGTCTGATCATGCGGCGCGATCGATCCTCTCGGGCTTCTATTGCTGCCCTCCGGACATATCGATCCACGTGGAGATCGATTTGCGTCCGGCACTATCGATCCTCTAGGAGATCTGTTGGGATCAGGTGCGATGGAGCCGCGAGGACTCTGATTCAGACACTCCGAGACTATCGAACCGCGTGGACTTCTATCTGGAACTTCCATAGGCGTAATATTACTCCTGGATGCTCTGTGCAATTCCGGACATATCGAGCCACGTGGACTTCGGTCGAAATCCAAATTTGCCATGCTGCCTCGCGGACTTCTCGTCGTGTCCGGTACTAACGAATGTCTGGGACTACGACTGGCGGCCGCGATCGCGTTACCATTTTCCGGTAAGAGGGATATTCTAGAGCCGCCAATCGCCACCATACTGTTCCGTGGACTCCGATTATAGGCCACATCCGGCACCAGAGAATTTCTCGGGCTAAGTGCTGAGTCCGGCACGAGAGAGTGACGCGGACTAAGAGAGACTTCTGGCGTCAAGCTATTTCGCGATGACCGCACCATATCGGGTACTAAACTATTACGTGGGCTCCTGCTCGAGTCCGGTATTAGGGAGCCTCGCGGGCTTCTGCAATAATCGTCAGGTATCAGAGAGTTTCGCGGGCTGCGGCTCGCCTCGGGCGCCAGGGAGTTGCGGCCGGTACCATACTGTTCAGGATCCGGCAGGATCCTACGACAGACTCCCTGAAATAAAACATCATAAAGCATTATCTATTTAATTTTTAACAGAAGAAATAATGGTTAGAGCAAGAATTAATTTTTAATCGTATATAAAGTTTTTGTAAAAGAGACTTTCTTTTTCCTTTCAGGCAAAAGATGTTCATCAAGAATGATAATAAGCTCGTAATTTTAGGAATTAGGTCGTAATTTACAAATGATTTGATTTCTAGTTATTTAAGTTAATTGATTTTTCTAATTTTACTTGGAAATTTTTGAATGTTGGAGATATGTATGTTAATATTATACGCATCCATATTTCTGCAATATATCTAATGTGTTTAATTAGCATAGGAATTAACGCGGGAATAAATTTACATTCGCATATGAAAGTAAACGCTACACGTTCGCGAGACATGTTAAAATACTCGATCGAAGTGAACGTATTTTAATCATTTTAGCGATTGCTGTCCAAAGCTAACCGATAACTTTCGAAACGCATGCCTATGCTGCGCCAATCATCTACTAATGAATAACATGTGATAGCAATCCATCTGTCCTGAACATTTCATGGTCTCAAAATTTCGTGGATAAACTGATATGTAACATGCGTGACAAAAAATGCGTTTTCGGTTTCATCGATGAATATACGCGGTGCTCATATCGATCGAGTACAAATGTCAAACGCCTGTACATTCGAGTATCCCTCGAGTAATTGAATATTTCGTATAACATTGCGTAGCCCGAAGGGAATAAAAAAAAACAGAAAAAGAGAACGAAAATCTGCTGCATATTTCAGGCTTAAAGCTCGGTTGACTGAGAATTTCAATTATTTGGAATTATTTTTTACGCTTTATGACTCTATGCGATCGCCGCAGTAAAACTGTTCATCAAATCAAATTACTTAAATCGTTATTCGGTTTTAAAAATATTAAACCAAATCTTTATACATCTTCCTGAAAAGAATGAGTTTTTGACATTTATACGTTTGACCTCATAACAAATTGAAACAGTTGTTGTATAGACAAGAAATTCATATTTCATGTCATTTTATGTTAAAAATAATAAAATAATAACAATTTGAATATATGTATATAAAGAAATTATACTAAAAATATAAGAGGGTGAATACTAACTTCATCAGGAGAGTCGCTCTCGGTATCTAGAGCGATATTCGGCACTATGCTACCCCTCGGCGACCGCTGCCTTTCCATCGTTCCGCCGGGGCTACTTGGTGGTAAGATGAGGGGTTTCTCAGTCGCTACGCTCGCTCGTCGACCTCGCATCGTCGAGGATGCCGGCTGACTTGAATTTGCCACGTTTGGCGACGCTCGCCGGCGTCGCGACGAAGCGCTTCGATGTAACATCACGGCGATGTTCTCTCATCCTTTTGATACAAAACATTTCTCATCTCATCATCCGCTGAATATTTCGTTAAAAGCATTTGCAAAAATTATATTAGTCGACAAAATTTTGCTGTTTTTATGTTAAATTGATCTAACAACATTTTCCTCATAGTATTTTTTACTTTGATTTTAAATTTGTTTGCCAAATTTATGAGAAGAGTATAGAGGTTTTTTAAATAACACATGTATTTAAATATTATCTCATCTGCTCTTAGGTACAAATAAATTATGTACAGGGAATAACTCTAATGAATTCAACAGATTTTCTATTTATTTTTATAAAGACTTAAAACAGAACTAAATCATTTTAATTAAGAAAAACGAGCTATTGTTAACAAAATGTATAAGTTTTTAAAAAGAGATATGTTACAAAAAATTGGAGCTTACAGGACAAATGTTAACCTCATTTCCAAAATTAAAGTAAAAAAATGCAATAAAAGAATTAGCGAAAGTTATTAATTTTACAAACTCATTAATAACCAGTCTTACTATAGAATCAGTATTAATTTTTAATTTATATTAATATCAAATTACATTGAAAAGTTTATTAAATTTTAGTACATATTTCTTTGAATAGTAGTAAGTCAACATAGATTTACAGTAAATAAATATCTATTTAGTAAAAAAAAATAGTTAAATTAAATTAATGATTTTTGTATCAAATATATGTTTATTTAAGTAAATATTTATTTAGAAATATTTAAATAAATATTTATAAAAATTTTGTATTTTTATGCTATTTGTTAAATTGTGTATTTTTATGTTGTTTATTAAAATTTTGTATTTTTTTCAGCGTTTCTAAAATACGAAAAATGCGGCTCAATGATAAAGTAACAATGAAGTAAACTATGGTAACTTGAAGAATATGTAGTAACTTGTGAATTTCCGATGTGAATTTCTGAGGGAAATATCTCGTTTAAAAATTAAAAGCACATCTTTTGCAGCGACGATAAAATGTTTTGCTTTGAGGATCATGTATCTTTAACATACAATCGCAAAAATGTTACCTCCATCTTTGAGAGGCTAATATTGTGTCTGTTAGAAGTTTGAAGAAGCAACAAAACTCTTTAAATTTCTCCCGCGTTTCTTTCTCGCGTAGTACGTTAAAAGGATAAGCACATTGCAATAGAATTACTAATTTTAATTGCTTGAAACTACGTTTTTCTCTTGAGAATTCTCAGAAAGTTATAGCAAGTCGATGGTTTTTCCTTATATGAAAGAAATATATATTATACTAATTGCGCGCGCGCGTATTCATAATATAGAGAGTGTATATACATATATTCACTACCGCCAAAAAGTTTCAGCACATCTTATATATTCGCTAACAATTTTATTTTTCTTTTATAAAATATTAAAAATAAATAGATAAATTAGCTCTAAGGACAATATTCATAGTCCGTTCTTATTTCAAGACTGACTTAAGTAATGTCTTAAGACGATAATACGGCTCTCTAATTGGTTTGTGACTTCTCAAGACTGTACTTAAGACATTAAATATAAGATCCGACTATGAATATCGGCCACAGTTTATTTAAAGATGAAATAGTTGGTCCATATTCTTTTATTTTTGATCATGAATATGTTCAATAGAATCTCGAATTGCCGAAAAATAATCGGAAATTATGAATTTCTCAAATTGACAAATATTATGTATATCGGTTGAGAGAAATATTAATTTCAAATTTTGCGCTAGATACCGATAAACATTTGGACATTGTGATAACTAACAATACAAGAATGGAAATAATTTCCCTCTTACACACACACGCGCGCGCGCACACACGCACACAATCTATTGCCTTCCGAAGAACAATATATATTCTTACAGAAATTAAACATCAGATTAAACACAAGTCTTTGATTATGATACTTGAAAAACAACTTGAAATATTTGAAAACTCAACAGAATGCCAAGAGTTTAGCTTCTATTATCGAAACCCAAAGAGATTAAGCTTGAAGAAATAAAAAATCTGGAAATTTTCTTTAATTGTCATGAATATATGTAATAATAAAAATTTAAAAACATAATGCAAATTATAATCACATTTTATTTTTTATATTACGAAATTTCTATAAATGCTAAAACTTTTAAGTGGTAGTGAATGTAATAATTTTAATACATACATATACAGGGTGTTTTAGAAATAGTTGGTCAAACTTTTTAAGAGCATATTCTACTCATTATAAGGATGAAAAAAGTCATAAACATGGGTTCGGAAACGCTTCCTTTCTAAGTTATAAACATTGTTTTATTTTATACTTATATCTATATTTTATTTTATACTTGTATCTATTTTTTATTTTATACTTATATCTATATTTTTATTACAGAAATTGCTAGAAATGATTACGGAGTACTTCTACAGTAGCAACAGGAGTATCATACACGAGGATCTTAAGATGTCTCCGTAAATAAAAATCTAAAGGATTCAAATCGGGAGAATGTGCAGGCTGTATTATCGCTGCGTAATCATATTATCGCTACGTGTGAAAAAATACGAAATACTCCGAGAATTTTTGAACGTCTTTGACAATCCATGCGACGTCGATGCGAAGCATGCATTGATGCGTAAGGAAATCATTTCCAGCAATTTCTGTAATGAAAATATAGATATAAGTATAAAATAAAAAATAGATACAAGTATAAAATAAAATATAGATATAAGTATAAAATAAAATATAGATATAAGTTAAAATAAAAAAATGTTTATAACTTGGAAAGGAAGCGTTTCCGAATCCATATTGATATGACTTTTTTTCATCCTTACAATAAGTGGAATATGCTCTTAGAGTTTGGCCAACTATTTTTGAAACACCCATGTAATTACTACAACATGTAATTACTACAATAATCTCTAAAGCTGTGATAATAATACTCGATAATATACATATATAATGAATTAATGTGTTTATATTGTTAAACTATTAAATATAATATTTTTGAATACATAGAAATATTGACATTAATATACATAGAAATATTATTTCAAGCAGAATGGATTTGTGACTTGAGCTACTGTTGTAATTATAAACACTGTAGCTTCAATGCACGTATTGCACATATGCATTCCGCGATAGACAATTAAATGCCCAACGGATTTCCAAGTACATTCATTATATATCTGCACAACATGAACAGTTTCTACTAGGAAGATGACCCAGATAAGTACAGTTCGAGGTTCAGTGCGTTATATACTGGTCCACCTAATTCCCCGACCCATAACTGCGACGTGCATTTTGATGCGCCGATGGGAACATGTCTCTCATCGCACGTAACACCTCTTCTATATAGGCTGTGCATATATTATCGATTCGCGTAGGTCTAAAACGGTTCTGACAGCGAATTAATTTACGACCGGGTATTGTACGTCGCGAAAGTAAGCAATATAGAAAAGCTTTCACATGAGCTCGGTAATACGTGGAAAATATATTTTGCAATCCATTCTGAGCGAAAAGAGGACAATAATTGAAATTATATATATTTTGATTAAAATGCGTGATACCGGTTTATATGATTATTTATTGAAAAACTATATACAATTGAATAATAACTAGGAAATTAAACATCTGTTTACATCTCATATTACGTAATTAAACATAAAATATGAAAGCACAGATATGAACAGGATACAATGCATTCACAAAATATAATGATCGACAACGCGGATGAATTATTGTGATATCGTTAATTGTTTTGTTAAGCGTAATCGAACATGATGAATAAAACTCGTTCGTATTTTATACGATGGTGGATATTCGTTTTGATGGAGTCGATAAAGGTTTTATTGGGCAATTTTTATTGACGGAGAATAATTTTTTTGCCAGAAATAAAATGGAAAATGATGCGCTTTTCAAACCTGAAAGCTGAAATGATTTAAATCAATTTAAAATAATTGATTTAACTACAAAAATATCATCCACGTATTTCTCATGTAAATTGAACAAAGACGTACGATTTTTTTTCTTATTACATTACGCCATTTTCTCATTCATCTTTCATGAATTATCTTTCCATGCAAATGAATCCTCACGGAAATTTCCACATCGACTAATTTGTATTTTCGGAATAAATCTGCAGCGTGTAATTATCGAGTATTATTACCACAGCTTTAGAGATTATTGTAGTAATTACATAAGTGCACATAAGAAAGAAATCGAAAAATAATCAGCGTTATTAGAGAGACTCTATTTGCTATATGCACAAGATAATTTTTCAGTAACGTGTAAAAAAATGTTTAAAACGTAAGAAACTTGGCAACTACTAGAAAAAATATAAATATATAACTATAGAAATCAGCCTAAACGGTCTGCTGGATCTTAATGCTTGTATGATTCTTATGTGAATTTATATACTACGTGTGTATAGTTCTCAGAAATGCGCGCCGAAATAATTTTTCGGTCTTGAAACGCTAACTCTATTAAACTACCGCAGTAATATCACAAGTTAAATTGACTAGCATTTAACAAATTTTTTATGCTTATTCGCATCTTCGAAACGATCTTAATAATGTTGAATGACATATTAAAATCTGTAAATAATTAATTCTTATTGCGAATCCACACATATAATCATATTGTATTAAGATATTTAAGCTCTAGCAACATCAAATTTTTATTATAATTTTTTCATGTATTACAAAGCGCAACTTTATGATATTATTTCTTTTTTAAGAAAAATAAAAATGCTATCACTTAGAATAGATAAAAAATTAGTTATGTAAAACAAACGTGAAATTTTGTGAAAAATTTCCAACTGAAATCTGTAAATCTGTGACTCATTAATTAAAGCACCGAGTGGCGTGAAATCTAGTCATTATGAAAAACTTTCCGACGTAGGTGCAAGATGGCACGTAATTTCGTTGATACTCCTTTTTATTCCTTATTGTTATTCCAAACAAAAGCACAAAAGAAGACTTCTGGAAGAAAGTTCCGAAAACTTTGCAATAAAATTTCCCGCGAAAACTTCGAGATCGCACAT